GCGAACACTGCCGAATTGGGCAAAAAGCAAGCAGATTTAGGTCGCCAACAAGCCTTGAAACAAGCCTATGAAGGAGAGCTTGAATCTCGAGTTCAATTGGTTAAAAGTGCTGCATCCAAGCATTCCATTCGAGGTTACGATGACGATATCAACGAGTCTCGAGTGAATGAATTTATCGAGAGAATCAAAAAGTTGTCTCGCGACAAGGAACGGGAATTGGAGCGGGCCAAGACAGCTACTAATGACGAATTGAAAAATGTCCAGACCACCTTGACGGAACTCCAGAACCAGCACGCAATACGTGTTCAAGAAAAGGTCACGGCCAAACAAACAATCTCTAACAACGAAAGGAAAGTCGGTCCTAAACAAACAGAATTGGGTTTTATCCAATTCGACGAAGGTGACAAAACCGGTCTTGAGACCTCCCACAATGAGACCAAGGATCTGCTGGAGAAGCTTAGGACTCAGTTTGACAGTGCAGGTTGGGACAGTCGCATCGGCACTAGTAATGGACGCTTGCGCGAGCTCGAAGACGAGGAAAAGTCATTGAGGAAAGAGGCTTTCCAGATCAACAAGCGTTCGAATGACCGCGCGCAACTCGATTATGTTATGGGGGAACTGAAAAAAACCAAGGGGAAACTAGACACCATGAAAGCGACTCACGGCGCAAAGCTCGATTCAATTCTCGGTTCAGACTGGCAAGTTGATACTCTCGCAAAGGATTTCCAACGTGCATTGGACAGAGAGAAAGATGAAGTTTCAGACGCAACAAATGAACAAGAAGCCGCGAAGAAATCTCACTCTGAAGCAGGTTTCCGATTTAATGCACTTCGTGAAGACCTCAAAGCTAAGAAGGAGCAATTAAAGGCTTGTGAGAATGCTGTGCTCAACTCTATAAAGGATGAAGACTTAAAACCATTAGTAAGTGTTGAAGAATATCCTAGGGAGCTGAATCAATTGGAGGAAGAGTGTGATGAGATCCGAGATAATATCGATGGCTTTAAACACAAGATCGAATATTTCACCCAATGCTTAACCACCATTCAGACTAAAGATATGTGCAAACTCTGTGAGAGAGGTTTCGCAGAAGAATCACATCGTTCAGCCGCCATGAAGAAAATTCAGAAACTTCTCAACAAAGACGCCCGAGAAAGATTGCAGGGAGAGCTGGAGATGTACAATGAACAGTTGAAGACTGCAAAAGCTGCTCAATCGCAGTATGACATTTATCAATCCCTCAAGGACGAAATCCCAAACGTTGAGCAAGATATGAAGAAGGCGGAAGATGAGAAGCAAAGATTACTTGAAGAAGTTGAGCATCACGACAGTATTGTTGAACGCAAGAACGCTAGGCAGAGAGATGTCGAATCTCTGACACATATCATCTCCTCCATCATTAGGTACCATAGTGATATTACGGATCACGAGGCAAAGATTGATAGTTTAGCCTCGCAGCAAAGCATTGCTGGGAGCATCGTGACTGCTGACGATATTCAAGAACGACAGACAGCTTGTAGCGAAAGTATGCGCGAGGTCAGAGAGCAATTGTCGAAAATTTCATCCGAGAAAGATGCAGCTAAGGATAAGATAAACGACGTGGAGCGTGATCTTTCTCGTAAATCCCAAAGACTTCGGGATGTCATTCACGGTTTGGCAAAGAAACAAGCTTTGCGAAAGGAGATTGATGAGCTTCTCGAGAGCAGCACACAGCAACGTGAAACCATGAATCGTGCTGATGCCGAGCTGGAAAATTTGAAACCCAAAATTGATACTGCAAAGGCTAAATACGAAGATATTCAACAGCAAGGTCATGCAAAGGAAAGAGAAGTCCGATCTCAAAAGGAGAAGTTGGCAGACACTGTCCGTCAATTCCTGCAACATGAGAAAAACATCAATGGATATATTGACAACAGTGGCCCTGAAAATCTTGCTGCTTGCGAGCGAGCAATCAAATCCATTCAACAGGACCAGAAGCGTATCAGCGAAGAAATGAATGGTATTACAACCGAGTTGAATGCACTCCGAGCCAAGAAGAGTGATTCCGATCGACTAAAGACAAATATCAGCGACAATATCCTCTACCGTCAAGAATTGGCTAAACTAGAGGTTTACAAGAAACAAACTATTGATTTGGAGTCTCAAAATGTGGAAGGAAATTTCCAAACTCTAACAAAGGAGGCCGAGAGAATACAAGCGACGTTCTACGACCACCGTCGCCTCTATCAACAGAAAACAGCCGTTCTCTCAGAAAAGGATCAAAACTTGGCACAATATTTACAGGACTGGGATCTGAATTACAAAAATGCTCGATCAGAGTATCGCACAGCTATGATCAAAGTTAAGACCACAAAGGCTGCTATTGATGATCTAGGCAAGATGATTACAGCTATGGACAAAGCAATTGTCAAATTTCATAGTGTGAAGATGGAGGAAATTAATCGAATTGCTGGGGAATTGTGGCAGACTACTTATCAGGGTACGGATGTCGATACGATCATGATTCGTTCTGAGAAAGATGAGGGCGAAACCTTAGCTGGTAATAAGAAGACAAATTATAAATATCGAGTTGTGATGGTTAAGCAAGATGTCGAGATGGATATGCGTGGTCGTTGCAGTGCAGGTCAAAAAGTTTTGGCTTGTATCATCATTCGTTTGGCGCTAGCTGAATGTTTCGGTATCAATTGTGGTGTAAGTTTTCTTTCGTTTCTCCTTCCCTTCTTGAATTTGATCGATATGACTCTAACATTATTCACAGCTCATTGCACTCGATGAACCTACCACTAATCTAGACCAAGACAACATCAAAGCACTCGCACAATCTTTACACGACATCATTAAATCCCGTCAACAACAAGCAAATTTCCAACTTATCATTATTACTCACGATGAAGAATTCTTGAAGGTTATGCAGTGTTCTGATTTCTGTGATGATTTCTATCAAGTCAGTAGGGATCAGGAACAGAATAGTAAGATTGAAAAGATTCCCATTGCGCAGGTTATGGAGGGAAATTGAGTGGACTTTGTGAGAGGTGGAGGGAAATTTGGGATTCGAGCTTGACATCTGTGAGTATTTGAGAAGAATGGGAAATCTGTAGTTATATGGGCGGGATGACGATTTCAGGAGTTTTGATGATATACCTGGTAGTGAGCTTTTTGCATAGCTTGCTTGTTATATATGTTAGCTTGGCTACCTACCTAAGCTGAGGTGTGAACACCTAGATGCTTTTAATGATGATGAGAAATGAGACCAACTGTACAACAGTTCTTCGAATACATGAGATTATTCTTGATGTGTCAAATGTAAGAAAAAGATAATGATAGTTACCTTGACTTAGGAAAATGACTGTATTCGCTTCAGTGATACTGAAATGTTTTCTATTTTTCTATTTTTCTGTGTTGCTTTTCTTAAATTTTCCTAGGTTTTCTGATTCCCCAAAGATCCAATTGTCTTCTGCTTTGCTTTTCTCCCGGTTATGAAATAAAGGGGGAAATGAGAGGAGAAGAAGAAAGAAACTCAACAGTAGCGATTCAATCTTCAAAACTATCAATTCCTCAATGATGATGACGACGACGATGATGATGATTGTCGCGCAAGCTCATTACCCACAGGAGGGAGTGAGATCTATGCGTTGTATTTGTATTCATACTCATACTTATATTCACCTCACCAACAACACCTATTTAGTTTCAAATTCTACTTCAATGACCCATTTTAAGTATCGGCTCGGTTGTCTGAGAAGATCCTTACTCTCTTGTTTTTCCTACCATTCTAATGTTGCTTCCTTTCTTTCCTTTCCTCGCTCATACTCACCATGATGTGTTTTGTTTCTTGAAGTATTGGTGCGGACCTAGTGTGTGCAGATATCGATCTTGGATCTGGATATCGAGTTTGCAGGAGGAAGCTATGGCGGGTTGGGAATTGGGAGTTGGGAGTTGGGAGAGGGATTTTTAGCTGTGGTTTTGAGGTAGGGTTGAGGGGAGCTTTTGATGGGGATGGGGAAGGATGGGATGGGATAGGATGGCCGTGGGAGGCTTGGTGAGGGAGTTGGGAAGGAGTTAGGAGACACAGTTTAAGTTTAGTGAGTGAGTAGTGCGAGTGAAATCCTCGAGATCGGGACATGAAGTAATTGTTCGCAAGCTGAACTTGAACACTATAATAAATAACACCGCAACTAACACGAACAGTCTTCGGAACAAAGGCACATAGGCAAGTTACAAAAGCCGTCGCTTCGAAGGGGGCTCAGCATAATTCGCTTACGGAGTCCGGGCGATGTGTCATCCTAACGAGATGGGGTGGATGAAGAAAGAAGTAGATTGCAATATATGTTAAATAGATATCAATAGGATACAGATGATGGGGAGAGATGGAAATGGAAATATATGTATGATTGGTGTATTGATTTGGATACCAAGATTGTTCGTACTGACAAAGGATGTATCCAGTTTTAAAATAAATGAATTTATACGTCCCATTTTGATAATTCACAGAATCACTACCGCGAAACTTCTAATCACGTATTTTTTTCTCCCCCCACAATCATTCGTTGATTCTCTTGATTCAGTACTCATGCTCAAGTACTTAGGACAGATGTATACTCGTCTAAATGCGGATAAAGAGACTTATCGCTCGATAAAGCGGTTTTTTGAAACATGGGCGTCGAAGCTCATGGAAAGGAGAACAGTGCCAATATTTTTTACTCAGACCGTTATTCATGAACACATGAGTTGACTTGTTCAGATGGGACAAGAGATATTGAATAATGGCTGAAAAATGCCACAAAATGGGCATATAATGTGCTGTTATTGTGCTTCACTTTGACAATTAAATTTCATTCTCATCTTCATTCATCTTCATCTAATACAACCATTTCAATACCACCACTATCCATCACCAGAATCTGCATTCATTGAATCAACCAATCGCTAACACTGAAATCTAAATACTGAAATATAAGCACTTACCCATCATCCATATTTTACAAACCGCTGCCGTTATCACCATGTCACCAACCAATCAACCCAAGAACTCGAGACCCGAGCTCACCCCTGAACCAACCATCAAACATCGGAGCGAGCGAAGCAGAAAACTTCACAACGCCAAGAAGAGGTATGCCAAACAAATCCCCTCGATGGCGCTGGAGTACATAGAGCTAGGTAGAGCTAATGATCGTGCCAAGACCCAGGAGAGAAGAGCTGAGAAGAAAGACAATATGCCCGCAGAAAGATTGTCTGACCTTGCCATGTAGCTGGCCACTTGGAGACGACCTATCTACGATAACGCGATTTAAAAGTTTCGAAAAGGCAACCTTGCCAACCAAAAAAAAACAAGAAAAGAGGAAAACGCACAAAAAAAGTGGCTTAGATGGAAGTTTCATTTCAACAAAATTGACAGAGAGAGTTTGATTTATATATACTTTTGCAAAATCTAAATTGGAACTGAAATAATCAGGTGCTTCGAAATATAGAATGATAGAATGATAACAAATGTTGCATTTCTTAAATTGTCTTTAAGTGTGCGTAGTGAAAACATTGTGATCATATTAAACGCCGTAAGTCCAGTCCAAGTGCCAGAAACGCCTTCTCCACATTTCCATTCTTTGACCTAATGCGCCGTAAGTCCCCTGTGCACCCAAAATCATTATTTATATACTCCTCCTCGTAGTGTTAACATTACTAGCGTGAGCTAACAAGAATTTGCAGCATGTGAGAGTGTACTTGCACGCTTTACTCCACGCATCATCTTGTGCTATCCCTAGTTTTATACTAATTTCACCTATCTTCTCCCCTTCGATTTTATATGGTAATTTAAGACCCCTTCCAGTTTCAGAGTTCTTGGCAGATTCCTGCTCAACAAAGACACCTAATTGACGCATGCATTCAAGGAATGCCTCCATAGCTATATCAAATTTGCGATGCATGAATGTAAGGCCAAGGGGCATATCACCAGATGAATGAAGTTCAAGAATCGATTTCTTGGGTGGTTTAGGTATATTGACGCGTTGTGAGCTAGAACGACTTGCAGACGGCGAGGGATAATCAAAACGTATTATTCGAGAAGTAGAGCCCATAGGCTGAAGCTCATATCCATCGAATTTGAAGTTGAGACGACCAGCAACTGTAGCTAGAAGAAGTAACGCGTGTCCCCATGCTGCGTTAATTTCCGGCCAGTCAACCGGCACACTTGAGAGTCGTCCAAGTCGCAGGCCATTTATTGTACCAAACTTTCCATCGTGGCTTATACAAAATGTATCGTTATAGACATTCGTCCTTTGTAACTTATCCAGTAGCTGTGAATCGTGATCATATTGGAGATTGATACTATCCCTTATGTTTTGAAACTCCGAGAGTTTCATTGCAAACTCATTTCGATCACTCCAGAATTTTTCTTCCTCAATATCAAGAGCTCTGGCCTCTTCTTCCAGCTGTGCATTTTCTTCGTTTACTGCAGCAGTTTCCGCTTCGATCTTCTTTAGTTCCTCTATTGCCGCGACCTCCTCTGCTTGTACCTTTGCAAGGAGGTCGTTGGCTTCCTTCACCTCCTCCTCTGTTGGTACTTCGGCGTTGACCTGCTTCAAAAATCCAACATACGCATCCCTTTCTCGGGTCGCAGCTTCTAATCGCTTTTGTAACCCATCAACAAGCATCTCTGTACATTCAACACAAATAGGATGATCGATATCGGATTTCGCCGTAAGAATCTCGAAAAGTCTTGATACCCGTTCCATTTCTTGCGACATTGCTTTACCCCCATCACCTGCTGCATCGCTACCAGGTAAGTCATCTTGATTTAATTTATCCGGGCTTGTAGTGTCTGGTGATTTGGCAACTGATGGCGGTACGACTTGCGACTCCGTCAACATAACAAAAGACATGGCTGGATTGTTCGTGCCACTTCTCAACGTATCTGATAGATTAGATTCATGTCGACGGGGAGCGGAGATTGTCCGCTTGAAAGTTGGTGGACCGGCATGCTTTGAGACACGATCATATAGTTGCTTTCGGTCTTGAGGATATGCTGGTCGCGAAGGGGGGATGTTTTTGGCTTGGTTTTGTGAGGCTGCACCTAGAAATCAATGTTAATAAGCTCTGATTCTTCTCAACATGGTATGTAGATGATCTAGAGAATAATTACGAACCAACTAACAAATCAAATGCCGCGGGGTTCAGATCCTCCAAAGAGCTATCAAGTTTCAATGATGTCCGACACTTTTGACAATACATGGTGTGGATGTTTGAGTGGTGGTAACTGTTCACATTAATTTATGGAGAATCATCAAGAATGTATCGACCAATGGATCTCTGGCATTTTGGTCCATCAAAAGTCTAAGAGAATTCTAGAATAAGAAGATTTGTAGATTCACTGATTTATAGTTGGATCTGAGACGTATTGATCCGACTGACATGATTGATACCTTGACGTATTTCGTACGGTAAAGCTAAATGCATGCTTACATAATCTTAGCTCAGTTACCTATGCAACCCCGCCAATCTACTTTTAAGCTTTATGCATGTACCTACCTGGTACAATGTAATTTACACGAACCCAACGCGTATTCCCGAGACTTTAAGAAATACGGCTCGCGACGTTGATTAACTTCTGATCTCCATTTACTGAAATAGTGATGTACAACTACGCACTTTCATGATTCCCACAACATTCTCAAATTTCGGACATGATTGCGAATTATCAATATGGAATCTCCAACAGAAAGGCAGACGATGCCCGCCATTTCCAATCTCGTTGACCTCGAAGTTAACGACGAGTACTCTGAGGATTATAGTGACACCGAGGAAGATGATTTTATTGTCGATGACGAGAACGACGATATAATCTACGAACCTGGATATGATCCCGATCAAGAACTTCAACAAAAGAGAGCTCGACTCGACTACAAATTAAAATCAACATTCGAATCAATCTTCGAAAAATATGGGAAAGATTTTGATGGAGTTGGAGATGAAATCGACTTGCTTACTGGGGAAATATTGGTTGATAATGGGCATTTGAAAGAGATGCAAGATGAGCGAGATGCTGGAGGTAAAAAGGCGGGAGGTAATCTGTTAAGAGCCTTGACCGTCGAACCAGAGAGTGTCACAGAGACATCGGGCGACGAATATAGCAATGTGGAAGAAGGAAATGATAGGGGAGAGGAAGATAACGTACGCGACAATATACTTGATAAAGACGACGCGGTCGAGGTGAGTGATGAGGATGTGGAGGAGGACGACATTATTTTACGTGGCTACGGTGAATCGAATCAGGAGCCTTTTCTTGACATGGTATCTACGACAGAGACAGAATCCATTCGGGATAGCACTCCTAAAAACGATTTACAACAGCGTCAGAATATACAATCTGAAGGACTCAGCGTTTCTTTTCCTTCATATAATGAAATTCTACGTTCATTTGGACCTGAAGTTGCCCCTCAAATTGTGAGCCTCATTTCACAAAAGCAAAGTCACGAAGACACCAATATCGAACCAGCCTGGAGAACACCTGAACTGCCTTCACTAGGACCGAGAAAGCAGTCAGCATTGAGAGCTTTTATTCCAGAGCCAGAAACTGAGCGTAGTCCATCTCCTGGTATTTCTGAGTCGATATGGGCTTTACCAAGAGGACGAGGCGCAAAAGGAACTCCAAGAGCTACATATAAACCAACATTGCTTTCGGACGGATTGAGCACTTCAAGTCATGCTGGCTCACCACGAGGACACAATTTATTCACGGAAGAAGAAGACAAGATGCTCATCGCAAAGGTAGCTGAAGCACGCGATCAGGGTCTCCCATTTGCAAGGGAATCTATATGGGAAGGATTAGAAATTCTAAATAGCCGACACTCGAGAGTTTCTTGGAAACAGAGGTACCGCAAAAAATATCTCCATTTGTGGTCTAAGGAATGCTCAACTAGACGAGGTTCTCGTGGGTCATATGATGAAAAAGATCAAGAACCAGAATCGAGCATAAGATCTGCATCCCGTAGTTCGCACCCGATATCCTCCTTCCAACGATCTTCCAGAACTCGAAAGCCTGTACAGCAGGCTTCGACTTTAGTTAGTTGGTCAGATGCTGTTGCCACAATCAAATCTTTGGACCGTAGACTACACAAAGATTTGGCTCGAGACGCCAGTGTATTTGACTTGACCGATGTCAGACCGATAGATGTAGATGAAGAAGCCTTGAATTTGAGGAGCTCTGATTTGGAATCTTCGGAAGAAAGTGATGATCAGCCGGAACTTCCTGCACATACCGGTCCTAGAGTTCAGAGGATTTCGCCAGTCACTGTTAATCCCGCCTACGAATTCTCAGATGAAGAAACCGGGTCTAATCTTGAGGCGACGCGACATTCAAAAGGCTCGACAACCAAGCTCGATAAAGGAGCAAGAAAATCTAGTAGTAGCAAATTGAAAGATGGAACTAGTAGGAAATCTGAACCCTCTCGAAGGAAAAGCACAACGAAGTTTGTGGCAGAGGAAGTTGATGAGTTGAGCCTTGGCCTTGAGGGAGATGACGTTTTATTCCTCTGCTCATTGCCAGGAAAGGACAAACAAAAGGGGCCTCAAACTACCATCAGACGGGAGGGAAAACAAGTAGCAGTCTCAAAAACAAATGCCGTCGCTTTCGTACCGCCGAAGGAAGGGTTGAGCGTCCTCAAAGATCTTGATGAGTTTGACGAGCTCAGCGCCGAATGGCCACAGTCTCTACCTATCACTTCTCCCGAAAAACCTACACTCGAAATGAAATCTGAGCCTGCGCCTGAAATTGTTGATATTGACGTTGCAGTTGCTCTATCAAATAGAGTAAATGAGACTGATATTGATATATTTGATATCGATCAACTTCCGGAAACGTCTCCAAGAAGTGCTCTGGACTCACGGAGGAAACATAGGACAAACAGAATATTCAGCAGTAGTGCTGTTATTCCCTCAACTTCGCAAGTTGAGTCGTCACCTACCGTTGCAGTAGATGAAAGGATACAGTCGAGAATGCAACAGAGAAGAAATTCTGTTGATAACGGTCCTGTACCGCGTACGTCGTCGCCTACTCGGTCCTCCCCTACACCTCGCCCCAAACGAAAATTCGTTGACCTGGATGAGAAAGAGAATACGCCCCTTACCCCATCACATCACTTTAACCAAGAAATTGAGATACCGACATCCGACTCTGAAGATTTAGCTCTCCAGAATATGATCAATGGCAACAGAACGCCTACTGTATCACCACACAAGAGGAGAGGGGGTATCATCA